GCAAGAAGACTGGGTGATGATAAAGCAAACGACACAAGACAAAAGGTGAGCTTCAACGACATGATTTCATGACCTCTATTTCTATTTCTTTTTCATTTTTTCCTTTCCCCAATAAGTCTAGCATAGTTTAAGGAGGGTGATCCCATCGTAAGGGGTACTCTCCTTAAATGCCCATGGCCCTTTAAAATCCTAGGACTTTAAACTTTTTAGGGTTTATTAGGATTTGAATTCCTGACTGTTTGGGGGACCTTGAATTAGAAATGATTCTATCATACATGCTTTTTTGTAAGGAACAAGTAGGATTCGCCAATGAGTTTTAGGAAAACCCATAAACCTCGTTCATGTCTTTCTCCCAAGTAGAGTTCAAGGGATATTTTGCATGAATCATAAGTTTACCCATGCCCAAATTGGTCTACATAAACAAGAAATGAGTTCGGGAGCGAGGGTACCAAGATAACGTTCCCTTTAGAGGGGAATCACGATCCTAGCTCTAGTGCGGCCTGTACTAGCTCTTCCTTTGCACAATTTCATCACCAAACAATATATGCAACGTGATACCTAAAATTATGTTAATTAATTTTATTTACACACATCAGTTCACGTAGGAATTACATCGTAAGGTCGTTATTCTTATTTAATTAAATTTATGATAAGAACAAGAAAATAAACAATATTCGCCTTGGCTTAAGTGATCAACCAACAATTATTTTATTCAATTCTAATCTTTATTTAACAAAAGATACTATATGGAATTGATTAATTAATTATTTTAAAGGTGATCAAACAACACTAATTAATTAAGGTTATTTTAAACAAGAAAATAAATGTGATTTAACTAAGTGCTTGGGAATTTACCACTTCTCTTTGCTAGATATCCGTTTATAACACTTAGGGATTCCTTCTTGTTGGGGAACCTCCACCGTAGTAACAAAGTATCAAAAGGGGTGAGTGTTTAGGACAAGAGGGTTAGGAAGCACAAGTTCACAAGTATTCTGCCAGCGTTTTAGGTTATTTTTTGTGTGTTTAAGCCTCGGATTAGGGTCTTATTGATAGGGAATTATTAGTTTTATGGTTAAGAGCATTCTGCCGCGGCAAGTGTCGCGCGCAACTGGATGAGTTGCGCGTGGCTGTCACGCGCAAGTGAATAAGTCGCGTGCGGATGATGCGCGCAGTTATTTGTCTTATGCGCAGCTCTATGGTAAGATTCGATTTTCCAATATTTTGATATTCTGAATCTTTCGTGAGCGCATCTCCAAAAGTTGCGCGGAGTGCTGCGCGCAGCTAAATAAGTTGCGTGCGACAACTGAGCGCGACTTTGTGAGATGCGCGCGACATTTTCCGCGGCAGCTTAAATTTTAACCTAGACGCTCCTAAATCCGTCATTATTGGGTTTTAAGCACGGGCTTAAGCCTAATTATGATTGGGTTTAGTTAATTGGACCTTGTATTGGCCTTGTTATTTTATTCGGGCTAGTATTTTGTGTTTTGTGGCTTAACTAGTTATCCATAAGTATTTTTCTCTTTGATCCAACACGAAGATGGCTTATTTATCGTCATTGCACTTCCTGTTGGGACAGGAGGCCAAAATTAGATGTCTACAGTTAGCCCCCACTTTGATCGAGTCTAGGATAGACGATGATCAAAGTAGTCAAGGAAAAATCCGAGACTCATTCTACGAAGTTCTCTAAGGTTAGAGAATCTTTCAGTAATGTTTACGGATGTTGAAAAAGTCCTCAGTTTGCTAAGTGTTTGATTTAGTAGCTATTAAGACTAGAGAAATTTTTCCCTAGTCTTAACGCGCTAAAGAATCTAGATTGATCCTTTGCAATTGTAGAATACTTTTACAAGTAAATGTATATTGAGTGATGTCAAGTCATGAGAAAATATCGGTTTTAAAAGAATAAAAGGGGATGATTTCCTCTCAATCATGTCATCGTTGGGCTAAATTCCATCGATATATCATTGAAACTTTAGCCTGACTTTAACAAAGTAAAAAGAATAAAAAGGGGTTTTCGATATTCGAACCGAAAAGGGTCCGGCATTCGAGCCGGGTCCGGTATTCGAATCGAATCTACACAAGATAGAAATACATGTCTCAGGATTGGAGGCATATATCCGAATCCAGTGAGAGAGAAGAAATTCAGCAACTCTCTCGGCAGTTTTATCCACAAGATGAGTACACGTGTCTCAAGACTGGGGGCACGTGACTACATGGGTGCGACACTGTCTCGTCGCTCTTTAAACTGGGGGTGGACGGACACCCTAACTGTCCGGTAAGTTAGTAAGATCACTAACTACCGTATTTGCTTCCATTTAAGAAATGCCTGTTCCTGAAGGTTCGGCGCGCCTGTCGACTTGTGAGCTAACGCTTATAGTAAATAGTCTACCTTTTAGTTCCGAGAGGTAGATCTCGCAAAGCTTGTGCTGAGGTGAAATTTTACGCTGTACGCTACGCCATTTTCATTTTTACGCTGCATGAAAACGCCTTCCTTTTGCTTCGGAAGTGAAAAAGAAGAAAACCCGGACACTTATAACGTCAGTACAATAAAATGACAAACTTGTCTATGGGTGCTTTTACCTAAAGCACCACCACGGAACTTCTCAAGGCACGTTTACGAAAAACCTTCAAAACGTATGCTTGGGGAAGGCACAAAGCACGGTGTGCATGCAAAATGATGCAAAAAACTATCAAAGAAGAAAATAAACTACAAATGCAAAGCAATTAAAAAAAGGATTTTGATAATTTGCGTGCCATTATGTAGACACCCAAATGTGTCTCCCCAAAACCAAACCCAGTGATGAATACCTTTCACGTCATTTGATTATTGAACAAAGCGAAAATGTGAAAAGTCTAGTAATGAGGATGTTTTTATTAAAATATCTCTTCTTTCTGTTTTTGAAAATATTTCTTTTCTTACCTTATTTATGAAAAATGAGCATTCCAGTTTGGTTTGGTCCATGATAAGGGTCCAGTAATGGTGTAGTTGGATGGGGCTTGAAAGACCTTTCCAACGATATATTATAAGCTCAATTCCGATGAATAATGAGGAAGTTATGGCCAAAATACTAAATTGGGCCCGGTTTGGTTTTTATATGCGACCCAATGATCTAGGTGAGGGGCTATTATTAATTATCATTCCTAAAGCTATTAGGATTGATTATAGTCTTCTAGAATACTCTAGAAGTTTATTTTAAATCCTAATGGAGTAAGGATTGATAATTATGTTTTAAAGAGTTTGAAATTGAATAAAACTACTCCTTTTTAAGAATCCTTGTTTTGTACGAAGTGGAATATATTCAGATTTTATTTTTTTGCCTTATAATATTTATCCAAATCTTATATGGTAGGATAGATCTTGAAATTATCTTTCCAATGATATATTATAATATTAAATCCGAGTTATAACGGAAAAGATATGAATGAGACGTGAAACTCTATCCAAAACTGACACCGTCCCACTACTTCTGCCATATCTTTTAATCTGCAAATTATTTAATCTGATTCTAATTGGGTTGGAAAGTAGACTTTAAGATCTTTCCAACGACATATTATATGCCTTATTTAAAAAAAAGATAAGTTTTGGCACCTGACGCTAATTGCAGCGTCGGCGCTAATCAAGTTTTATGCGCGTTAGAACTCTGTTTCGATTTTCTATCTTTTTTGGCTGATTTTCTCTTTAAACAATTTCTTGATTCTCTCTCTCTTTCTAAACCAACTCTTTTACAAACAAAATTCCTCATACATTAGCACTAGACACACCTAGCATTTTTCGAAATTGCCTTCGCCCTAGACGTGAAAGGTTTTAATTTATGAGGGTTTGGTCCCAAATCTCTCTTTTAATTATTTGATTTAATTGTTTTATTATTTTCCTTGAAATTACTAACGTGTGTATTTTGTTATTAGAAAGAAGTACGAGACATTCAAGTAAGTTCTTTAATTGTTTAATTGATATTTTGACATAGAAATCATGTTTATGTTATTATTTTGATTTCTAGTATCATGTTTAGGGTAATTTCTAATATCAAGTACGATTAAAAGAATGATTCCTAGTATCATGTTTAGGATAAAGAATAAGTTCCTTAAATCAAGTATGATTGTTATGATGCTTCTTATTTACTTTCCTAATATTCATGTTAGTATCATGTAGGGTCAAAGCTTTGGTCTTTATTATTTTGTGACATGCTTGAGTTTGTTATTAATCTTGTTAGTATCATTCCTAGTATCTTGCTATTATTATGCTTTAACATGAACATGATTATAATAATTATGATTATGATTATGATTATTGTTGTGTCGAATTATATAATTTAACGCAATTTGTTAATTAGCGAATTGTTTCACGTAATTTGTTAATTTACGAATTGTTTTACATAATTTGTTAATTTACGAATTGTTTTACGTAATTTGTTAATTTACGAATTATTTCATGTTATTTGTTAATTGAAGGATAACTTATATATATAATTTGATTATTATTATGTTGCTTGATATATTTATTTTTTTTCGCTTGATCACACCTTTTTATGCATGTTTAAAGGGAATTGTTACTTGTAATCACGCTTAATAAGATAATTAATGATCTTGTTTAGGGTTAATATGATTATAATTCAAGTGATCGCCAATAATAGATTTATTTGTGCATTAATATTCAACCAACATAGATAAAACAGGTTTAGGGTTAACCTATTGATTGCATGTTAGTCAGAACACTAGTAGAAAAAGTTTCATTTGTAACGGGTTATTTGTAACGGGCAAAGCTATGCCCGTTACATTAAATACATTCGTAACGGGCAAAATATTGTCCGTTAAGAATAAATATTTATTCGTAACGGACACCATGTGTCCGTTACGAATACTATATTATTTGTAACGGATGGTGTCCGTTACGAATACTATATTATTTGTAACGGACACATGATGGTCACCATGTGGCTGTTACAAATATTTGGCCCACAGCTGAAAAGAGGACTTCATGAAAAGAGGAGCCCATTACTAATTATTAGGGTTTCACACTCCTAGCCGTCAAACACTCCATTCTCTCCTCTCTCCTCTCTCACCTCTCATTTTGCTAACTTAATTTCTCTCTTCTACGACTGATTCATCTTACTCAATATCCTCCATTTCACCACCCTAATTCCCAAAATTTCCCCTCTTTCTCTCTCCTCTGAATCGCATCAATGGTAGAGGACCCGATTTAGGATGTCTTTTGTACGAATCTCGTTACTCGGAAGTGGATATGGCGGTGATGATTCAGGTAAAAAAACATCACAGTACGTTATGGGTATGGTTATATCTCTTTGATTTTTTTCAAGCCAATTAGACTGGAGAAGTTCGCTTCTTCTTCAAGAGAAAGCAATTAGATTTGAATTGGTCTACTAATTATGGAGAGGGAGCTTGAGTTCGGATTTATAGCTGTAAGTTGAGAGCCTATGTCATGAAGTTTGATTTTAATTGATTATTATTTTTTATGTTTGATTAATTTTAATATGGTAAGCTCATCTTTCTGATGAAAAGGTATGTCTTTTAAGATTTAGCTGCTTTTGAATCGATTAGAGTGTTAATAATTTAGTATTTGGTTTGCTATTGAAACTTTCCAGATTATTTAAGCTGTAAAATTTGTGTCGAGAGAGGATTTGGAAGACAAGATGAGCTTGTTTGTGTGCATTGCTTGATATTAAAGGTGTATACATAATTCAGGTGTATACATGATTCCGATCAATTAGTATTCCTAGTTCACGACGTATGTTTTGATTTCTACTTTGTTATTAGTGTCTAGAGTTGTTTCACTTGTCTGCGCTCGTCATTTGTTCAATTTTAGTACTATGTAGGATATATAGCTTTTAATCTTTTTAGTTTAGATGGATAAGAGGAATAAGAATAACTTTCAGGTTCCCTTTGGTTATACAAAGTGCTTCTTGTTGCCATTCTTGCTAATCACTAGGTTCTTGTCAATGTCATCATCAACTCAAGATAAATCTCAATTAGAATTAAACTTAATTAAATACTTTTAATTAGCTTCTGTTAATGCCCACTTCATGTAGCATAATCGTATGAAATCCTCAAACTTTATTATATCAACAGTAGTTTACTAGTCTATGAGTCTGACTTTTCTAAAAGAGTTCACAAATGATGCTAAACTTTTTACAAGTAAAAAATATTAAAATGTTTAGATTGTTGGAGTCATTTCTAGAAGAATATTTTAATTTTGAAAGTGGAAACTTAGGAACTAATTGGTAAATGGTAATTGTTGGATTCTAACTTACATTTACTAGTTTTCTTTATGTTTGATTATTTTTTATTGCCTTTTTTTGAGGTCTCGTCTTTCTTCTGATTGCAATGGTATAGTAGTTTCTTTCTTTATTTTTTTTATTTTGTTTCTCAAATCTATCTTTTAACTTGTGATTATCATGTTGGATTGGATGAGTAGATATAATGCCAATTTGTTTAGTATATGGTTGTTTGATAACTTCTATAAGTATAATCCTACACCTAACTGGATATTTTGTCCATAGTTGAAATATCATGCCACTATGTTTAGTATATGATTATTTGATTATCATTTTGTTTGGTTTTTTATTGCTTACTGAAATGCTAACATGAGTCTAATATACACATAGGCAGCAGACAGATGCTGAAATACTTCTCTGAGGTTGTGAATGTACTAGAAAGTGGTGAAGTAAAGCTGGAGGAGCGTCCTGCCGTATGTGGTAATGCTTTGGAGGCTCTCAATTATTTATCTAGTCATCTCCAAGATGAAGACTATAAATAGCATAGAAGTCATGGAACTATAGATAGCATAATAACCGAAATACCTACCTCTGCCACCAGGTTAAACTTATTGCCTTGCTCATTTGATGCTGCTCAATGAGTAACTAGATCATTCTTATTACTTATAATTTAGTTCCTAGATCATTCTTATATCTGATTATACAATACCATGTGTCATTTTTGCAGGTTCTGCCAGAAACAATAAAAGGGAAGCCTTTTAAGAATCAAGCGATATGTTCTAATCTTTGAACTTCAGCTCACGAATCAAAATTGATTAACACTTATTCTTGTGGGAAATATCTAGGTTCTATGAAGCCTTTTAAGAATCAAGCGATATGTTCTAATCTTTGAACTTCAGCTCACGAATCAAAATTGATTAACACTTATTCTTGTGGGAAATATCTAGGTTCTATGTACTCGGTACAGTGATGAGGAATTTTTCAATGTAAGATGTGAAGGTAATTTTCCTCTGTATCTGTTACTCTGTTAGTCCATAGTCCTGAATTCTATTTTGTGTCATGCAATTTCTTTTTCCCCTCTACAATCCTTATGGTCTGATATCACTTGTACCTAAAATGTGTAGAGTTTGGTTTTCACTTATCTAGTTCATGTTTTGATGCCATTATACACATAATAATTATCATAATCCATCATGTTGATTCTGAGTCATTCGAATTGGTCTATCACAAGGGTCTGCTAATAAATTATCAAGTTTTAAGCTACTTCAGACGTTTTAGAGCTATCTATTTAAAGCCTTTTCACATATGTAAATGCTATATATATTATTAGGTTGGGTGTTACACAACTTAAGTTTGCTGCTATAATAAGATTGTCTGATATAAAACCAGTTCTGTCACGGTGTGTCCAATTCTCGCTTAATTTTCTTTTGATTTGATGGCATTTATATTGATTTTTGATTAACCTATGAGCCTTTATGTACTAATTGTTTCTTATCAAAACTATTATACACCTTAATTCTCTTTTTAGTTGCCTTTAACCTAGAAAATTTTAAGGTGAAAAGAAGTCATTAGTTGCAACCTATATAATCACAGCCTAACATAGCCTTATAAGAGTTTGTGGAAACGCGCATATATATCATCAGGACATCAGGGGAGGCCTTATGGCCAAATGAAGGCAATTGTGATGGGTTCTCCTACACAATATATACCTCTTATATCCTAGTGCAAATAGCGAGCATAGCCTAGTAGACAGCTTGGTCAATTCATAACTGACTTCCCCAGACTTATAACCATGTTAGAATTAATGTTGACTGACTTTCCCATACTGTTTCAATGAGACCTTGCCCTTTCACAATGTGTAGTTTGTAGGACCGAGTGGTGGTTTTGAAACTTGGAATAAAAGTGACAGGTTCTTCATTAATGTTGTTTTTCGATCATGTTTACAACTACAATTTGCGTGCTGGAATACTGAAATATATAACACACCCAAGTCCTAACTTGATGAATTCCTCTACCTTGTCCCATATATTAGTGATTTATGAAAGTTGAGTCATATATCTAGTACTAGTACTATTTACATGGCTCATTGAGACTCTCTTTATGTATGCAGAGCGCATTAATACTTATGTTTTTGATCTACGGGAGTAGTAGGAAATTTTTGCTTTTATTCTTATGTGCTCATTATTTTTATAGTGAGGTTGTCTAGGCAAATATAGAAAAGTCAATTTCTGAATTTTGCAAGTTGTAATTTTTGTTGTAAATTTCTGAATTTCGCAATTTCTGAAGTTCATTGCAATTTATTTTATGGTACTGCCAAATTAATGATGCCCTGCTGGCTGTATTTGATAGGATATCAACCATGTATATGAGACCGAGTTCAGAACAGAGTGGTGCCGAACTAATTCTACAGCTGCTCCTTGCTTTCTATTTGCAAGGAAATTCTCGCAAGGGGGATGCTATGCGGCTTTTGAGTGAGAAAGATGGTTACAATAGTACTCTGTTGCTCGTTAGGGTACTGTGGTTATCCCTATGCAAAATTTGTAGATCTTTAGTGTAACATATCTAATCTAAACTCCAACAATACACGATCTGGGACTCTTGTAGGCAGTATGTTGCGGGAAGTATGATGCCTGATTTTACTCGTTAATTATCAAGTGTAAAATATACTTGTATAATATAAATATATATATATTGACAAAATAATTGTGCAAGCTAGCTGTCCAGCATGTGCTGGATTTTTTTTTTTAAAAATTGGATTTCACAATATTCGTAACGGGCAGAACCTACCCGTTACAAATAACTCCGTCATTTGTAACGGGCACCTGAAAAGCCCGTTACAAATAACTCTGTCATTCGTAACGGGCACCTGAAAAGCCCGTTACAAAAAATTCCGTTATTTGTAACGGGCACTTAAAAAGCCCGTTACGAATAACGGGGTTTTTCATAACAGGCACTTTGATATGCCCGTTACGAATAACCCGTTATTCGTAACGGGCACCTGAAGAGCCCGTTATGAATAACCTATTATTCGTAACTGACGGTGCCCGTTATGAATACGAAAGGCCATCCGAAACGGCCGCATACGTAACGGCCGCTGCCCATTACGGATGGGAAATTTTTGCCCGTTACGGATGGCGTTTTTTCCACTAGTGGAAAGCGCACATGAATACGATCAGAATAAAGTAAAGGCCTATTATTAGGGCAGATTTAATCTCTTTTAGGTTGGATTTGTACCTTCATCCCCGAACTATCAGTCATTGTTCAAGACCTATTAGAGTTGACGATCTCCTGGATCGTTAAGGGGTGTAACTTTCACCTCGTGAATGGTTTACAAGTTCTTAAAAAACTTGTTGGCGACTCTTTTACTTTATCTTCTTCCCCTTTGGACGCCACCGTACTTTAGTGTATGATCATAGTGGGGTTCAAGCTAGGGATAACGCTTGAAATTTTCCCTATAGTTTTTGGCGACGACTCCACTAGGGAGGGTTTCTATTTTAATTCCTAAAATTTATTTCGGCAATGATTTAGAATGAGTGGATGAGACTCGAAAAGTTCTAAGTATTTCATGTACGTAATTTTGATTAACATTATTGTCATATGCATAAAAAAGATCTCACTGGAAAGACCATCCGTAATGAGTTAAAACATAGGATTTTTACACGTAGGTAATTTGAGGAATATCTTTCATAACTAGGACCGAAATAATGCTACGCGAAACTGGAAAATTTTATCGAGCACAGAAAGCTGCTGAGGCATGTAGGAACTAGCGTCAGGAAACAAAGTATAGCGCCACTTATTTGACTTTAGCGCTAGGCGACAGCTTCTGTCGCCAGGCGCTAAAGCCAAATTGTGGCGCCGACCTCTGTTTGCTAGCGCCAAGTTCTTCCAATACCGAGCCAGAAATATGCGTTCTAATTTTGACCAGTTTTTAGCAGTGTTTGCTCAATCCTACTTCCTGATTGAATTTTTCTCACTTTTCTGAAACCCATATGTGTTCTACATATGGAAATAACCCTCTGGGAATTCATGCTCCATCTACCTGATTGAACGCCCTGTGCAACAAAGGGTACATCCGAGAATGTTGAATTCACCAAACTATGGAAGCGAGTTTTTAACTCGCGGTGTCCTATCCACTCGCGCCAACCCTTCAAAGGTAAGGCTTCTGCGCGGTGCATCCGAACAATTAACCAAGGACCCTCTTTGACTAACCCATATCTCGAACTTTAGAGAAGTAGAGCCACTGTTAGGTTGCAAACTCATTGCATCATATTGTGCCTACTTGGCTACTTGTGCATCTCTTACTTGGGCATACTTATTATGTGACTAAACTAACCGTTTGGTTTGACTTGTGTTTGTAAATAAGTCTTAATAAACTAATTAATGACTAAAGGACTTTGCTTAATTAATTAATTAATTAATTTGATCTAATAAATATGTCTAAAATCAAGTCATACTTCCTTTAAGTCAACCCGAATTTTTATTCCCGTATACTGCACAAACGTCAACTTGTTTTGGTCATAGCCGGAGTTATAGGAAGAACTACGAGTCGTAAAACCTATGGATCTGTAGCCCCGAGTTTTATCTTTAATTTGGCGTTGGTTTCATCCCAATCAGAGTCACAGATCAAAAGTTATGACTAAAATACCAGATCCTGTCCAGTTTAATGCATATACGTGAGGTCTTAACTTAGTCTTTGTTCGAGTCTAATCACATAGTCTAGCCACATGGTCATGACACGAGTCTTAACATGTCACTTGCACTCACAATAAGGCACCCACTAATATGTATATACACCATGACCTTGTCTTAGGTTCATGCATGAGTCGGTTTTCTCTGTCATTTGAGTTGGGGGTACATTCTATTCCTAATTTTTTTCATATTTCTCCATCTACATCATCTTTCCATTCTGTACATGCTTTCTTCACATTACAACCTTCATTCTTCCTACCTTCTTTCATCTATGCATGTTGAATAAAGTTGAGTCAAATAATTAACAATGAATATCCATAATTTCCCTTTCCACAATACTTGGTCAAGGAGAGAAGGGCGATTAATCAAATACAGCACCTTTGTTCAAGTCTTACTTTTTGATAAACTGTTCCGTCCAAAGACGAAAGCTAAGAGGATAATGGCAACTCAAGAAAAAGTCAATGAACTTAAGAATCAATTGACTACCGTGACTGAGGCATTGAAGGTTTTAACCCTCAAGATCAATGACCCTATGAAGCAACAACAGATGGACCTCATGCAAGAAAGTTTGAGCAATTTGTCTAGTGACTACAAGTTTCAAGGCATTAGCTCACAAGGGTTCTCGGTGGACAAAGATCTTCTTCCGCAGAATTTCAATGCCAACGACATCCCAAAATTCAAGGCAACTGACAACCCTTATTTTCATCTAAGAGCTTTGAAACCATGATGAACATTAAGGGGATTGATAAGAAAGTCTTTCATTCTTTGTTGTCTTTATCTCTTGAGACCGTTTGTCAACAATGGTTCTTTTCCCTTGACAAAGAGAAAACCTCTTCTTGGGAGTCGATAACAAACTCTTTCATAGATAGATATAAGTGCAACATTCAAGACGAAACAGACCACAGACAACTTGAGATGTTAAAACAAAAAGAAAACGAAGGGTTCACTTCTTTCTTCAACAAATGGAGGGAAACTTCTGCTAATATGGTCAAGGTTCCTACCGAAAAAGAATCTGTGAGGATGTTTATCAAGAATCTCCAAGGGAAGTATTCAAAGCACTTAAAATACCAACACAACTTGAATACTTTCAAGGCTGTGTATAATATAGGCATTGACATTGAAGATGACCTTCTGAAAGATAATAGTGCGAGAGGAAAGAAGAACGACCATCCTTCTTCTTCCTCTCCCATTAATGAGATACATGCTATGAACGCCTCTAAATTGCGAATCCAGAGGTCAAAAAGAGTGTTCACTCCACTTGGTACGAGTTATGAAACAACTTTCGAGAAGCTACATCACAAAGGACTAGTCATGCCCATAGGGCCCATCAAAGATCCAGTTCCAGAAGCCAGGCCACCCAAGTGGGACCCTAATAAGCACTGCAAATATCACCAAGGAACGGGTCACGACACTGAGGAGTGTTGGAAACTCAAAGAAGCTATTCAAGATCTAATCGATGACAATAAAACTTCCGAGGTTCTAGCCATTGAAGAAGATAAAAAATCCTTCGATCCATCACTTCTTACCACACCTGTAGGTGAGCCCATGATCGAGACAACTTATATAACCTCTCTCGATGAAGTGGCCATAATTGAGGAAGATGAAAGTCTTTTCTTAGATAATACCAGGGAAGACTCGTCAAGTCCAAAAGAGGACGTTCGAAAACTGCAAGATGTTGTTGCCATGCTCTTGAATGTGGTAGAAGGATTAGCAAATCGGGTGATGGTTATCGAACAAAATTCTCGCCAAGGATTTAATGAAGAACTCAATGCTCCTAAGCCACGGGAAAAATGGACCATTGAAGAATACACACCAATAGGAATGAATTACAATGAAGCTTTTGACCATCTTCACGATCAAGGTCTTATTCACCCCATTGGTCCCAGTCAAGACCCTCCGCCCAAAAAACGGTTTCCCAATTGGGATCCAAATTCTTATTGTCGATACCATAGAGGTCGTGGTCACACCACTGAAGCATGTCTCGCCCTCAAAGACCGTGTTCAAGATCTCATTGATCCAAATCTCCTTAATGTTCCCCCGCGCGACAAGAAGGCCAAGATTAGTAATAATAAAAACAGTGGTTGTAAAGGAAAGAAGAATGACTATCCTTCTTCTTCCGAAAACACCTACTCTAGTAACAATATTGGTACTTTCGACCTTAATGAAATCTTAGCCATGGATAATCGAGGATTTAGAAAGCAACTAAGAAAGGATTTCACCCCTATTGGAATTAGCTACGATGATGCTTTCGATCGACTCCATGCAAAAGGACTCATTACTCCTATTGGACCCATTCAAGATCCCCCACTTGAGAAGAGATTGCCTAGTTGGAACCCAAATGTACGTTGTGAGTACCATCAAGGTAGGGGTCATACTACTGAGAGCTGTTGGAAGCTAAAGGAAGCAATCCAATATTTGATCGACAATAACGGGCTTCCAATACCTCCAGTCGGCAAGAACACCAAGTGATGATAAGCCAAGGGACAAGACACAAGCTTAAACGACAAGATTCCATGATCTTTTTTCTATTTTTTATTTACCCTTTCCCCAATAAGTCTAGTATAGGCACCTTTTTATTCCCCTTAGATTCATTTTGTAGGATCATTATTTCTTTTCCTTTAATAAAAATGAGCATTTATTTTCTTACATATGATCATTTCATTACATTAAAAAAAAATTTCATGTCAAACTAAGCACAAGGTATACCAATGATTTAAGGCACCCCTTGTAGTCACATCATATTGCCTTTCACCTTTCTAATTTACAATCCTTTCTTCATAAACCACTTTGAGCCTCGTCTAACGATAGACCTTTCATTTTTCAACCTACATCTACCTAACTTTGGGATGAGATGGTGTGCAACTTATGCAATTTTCAATTTCATAAAAAGCTCGAGTGATTTCAAAAGATTAAAATAGAAAAAAAATAAATAAAATAAGAAAAAAATAAATAACAGTGTACAAAATGGGCAAGTATTCCAATGTCTTTGACATGAACATGTCTTTGATATG